TCTTATTAATTTAAGAAGGGGAAGGGCGCAAATGACATATATATGGCACAGTGCAACAAACTCTCCTCTAAGGATTAAGCGACAGCCAGTTGCTCACACACTTCAATCAAAACTTCGTAACAGAACAAAGACGTAGGGTTCGTAAGCGACAGAAAAGTGCATGATATATTTTCGAAGTCATTTTACGCTCTGTTGCGTCATCCTTGAGTTTATCCTCAGTTACCACACAAGGAGGATATTGCGTCAAGTATCTCTACGAGTAGGCGGAAGATTCTGATTACGAACGCTCATATATTCTGACACTATTTAAATGGAGATATGATGGGGCGAGAAATGAGTATTACTTTGGCTATCTTAAGCAAAAAAATATAACAGAGCAGGCGGCTTTTGCCGTAACCACTCGGTATATCAGCGGAAGTGACCTTTAATAAATAACACCACTTGGACAAAAATATTTACTTCAAAATGGCTACATATTATCCAGAGATATACATCGAAGTAAGTATTAGTACAGAACATATCTAATGAAAATATTCGCTAAAATTTCGAAACAAAAGTAGCGTATCACATACAAATCAGACATTTGGGGAATGAGGGCGCAGACAAAGATTCGCGTAAAGATTTAAGCTTATTTGATCAAACATTCTAAGAGAATTGTCCGTGAAGTTTCTTCTGTAAGATCAAGTTGTGATGTAGTTCCGGCTTAATATCACAAACCAATTGCAATAAGCGAACGATGACCTGAAAATTACTCAAACTCAGAAACTCAACATGTATAGAAAGAGGATCTCTAACCTGCTGCTTATGAGCAAGTACGTTCTTCTTCATTGCCTCGATCTCGTTTTCAGTATCACGGCGAATTTTGCTCTCAATATCTTCCTTAGTTCCTAGGTACGTCTGCTCGTACTGTTTGAACTTCTGCTCACGCTCCTTCAAACAAAGATAAAATGCAAGTGAAGTCAGCTGTTAAAAATGCGCATACTTACCTGACGATATTTCTCCACTTCAGCTTGAGCTTCCTGCTTGGCCTGCTTCATGCGCTGGAATTTCCTTTTTCTTGCCTCATTGATTTTTTCTGCAGCCCTTTTTTCCGCAGCCAACAACTGTTGAATCCCTTGAGTCTGCGAAGCCATTTCTGCAAACCATACCAGACACTGGTTTTGCACATGAGAACAAGATTTCGGAAGTACAGATACCTCGATAGTCACATGTACAACAAATCATGAACTTAGGTAATATAACGGTTTAACCGGGATAATTTATCTGGCGACAAAAATTTATAAACTTTATCAATCCGGTTAGATCTCCTCTACAAGTACAAAGAAGAGATGTGAAATAACAAGATACAACAATCCTTATAAGTGAATCTTACACGACAGAAAACCTCTCATAATGTAACTAAAACCCGTCAAGACGGCAAACCGGAAACAAGGATTCATCACATCATTTAGGATATTAGCAAACTAATCCACTCCATATTGGCACAATTTGTTAATAAAAACAAGAAAAGTAACGATCAAACATCAGATAACCTAATTTGAACAGCCACTGGCCAGGTCAATCACCTAGCTCAATATGAGCTCACCACGGCAAGCGTATTTGGGACCTTAACACAGCAGAAATGATCTACTTGTGAGAAAATCTTTCATGAACAAAATTTACTAACCTTAAAAATCTTTGCTTCACCATCATCAAAAACTGCTTCAAGTACCAGTTGCGAACCTGCTACATCATATACAGACGGCTGTGAAACGCTAAAACATACAGAATAGCTCGATCTTCATCATAAACGCGCTAAAAGAGGAAATAAAGGAGGGAAAAACACTATCAGGCGTTTAAAAGAGTCTGAAAAAGATTTGATTTTGACTTCAATATCATGATTACCTTATCACGAATCGAAATACCCTAGAAGTTCCACATTCAATCTTTGCTTTCAAAACTTGTCGATCAATCCACCACTGTTGGCGGTTTTCCGGGGGCAGTTGTGTTAAGGATGTAACTGCTTCGTAAACCTTAACCAAATCATTATCAAATTCTTGTTATAGAGTACATATAATAAACCCATCATAATGATATGCACCTTTGGGGTATACCTTAGAGTAACGTTTGCAAAACGTTTTGAGTCATCTACATTGGTGACAGACACCTCAAGAGGAATATGCGAAAGTCTGAAATGTGGAAGGTAAGTATATGACTTTAAGTAATGTTGACTGAACTATAGCACCTGTTTTTGCTGAAATTGTGTATGATCGGCTTGATGGGACGACAAACTATAATTAGCGGGGTCCTTTCTGGAACCATTTCTCCTATTTGATCATTTTTCACAGTGTCGCTCACAGCGTATATATGAGGAGCAGTCTGCTCGGGAAATTTCGATATTGAAGAGAGCATGTTATCCGCAATAAAATTTTCTCCGATGATAGATGACACCTCAAATACAACTGAATTCTGCACAGAAAGACAAGAAAATTGTGAAGTTGCATACGATAGACAGACGGAAACCAAACGCACATGTCCCTCATTGTTGACGATGCTTGCCTTCCACAAAATGGCTAACTGGATATGATCCTCAAAAACCGTAGGTGGTTTATCTATTCCCTTTGAACAGTCTGGAATAGCTGGAGGCCAAGAAGGCGAATCCAATGGTAAAGCACTAAGACACCAGCTAGAATCGCTCTTCTCTCCAAGCTTCAAGTTGGCACTCTTTGGT